TCCATTGTTAATTTCTACTGTCGCCATACCCTACCGGTACTGGTGCGTGCTATCAGCCCTGTTCAACCAACAAGGTCGGCAGTCGGTACCTGATATTTCCCCCATCTACCAGAGGCATTGGAAACTACTTGGGCAGGAAATTGTTGCCTAATTTTGCTCAGAGGTCTCCTAGAGACATGATCTTTTACGTGCCGTAAATCTACAACACGGGACCCATGGCTTAAAGTCCCTCCCGGAGGACTTGTTCCCTGAATTTTTCCGCCCTTAAAAATTCCACGACCTCCGCCGGGTTTGAAACCGTGTACCTTGAGTCATGAGGTGGGAACGTTACCTCTAGACTACGGAGGCCGCTAACAATGAATATAAATAGTAATCCAATATCGCAGACTCCTCTTCACTGTTCAGCTACAGCCGATGCGAACATGCCTAACTGCCAACAATCTCAACCCACAATCTCACGCACNTTCAAGTTAAATGCTGACGCTGGTTGCTCAGAATATGTGTGACACAGGGGCGTAGGGTACATGGATGTGGTGGAAGCATTGCTTCCCTATAGAAAAGCAACCAAGAACATTTCTGGCAATTTTTCAATTTCGAAAAAATATTTTATACTTCAAAATATTAATCTGAGAACATATATTACATATAATGAGAATATTGCAAGTTTTAATGTGTTACATAAACAATTTATCAGGATAGATCAGTTATTTTCTTCCAAAATGCAGGGAACTTTAAACTGCAACACGCGCGGAAGCAGCAGGTCTTTCGCTTCCACCCTCCCCTGGGTTAACTGGCTGACTCATGTCAATGTTGTCTGCAAGTGAGCTATACGTTATGGTATGCTATCAGCTTCGTGTTTCCAGCAATGTTGCCAGATGTACGGCATTGCAGTTTGCAGTAGGATAGTCTGTGACCTTGCAGTTAAGTGTGTTTACTAGTTTCACAAAGGTGTTAGAGCGTGTCACTTATGCACAAGTCAGTTTAGTTATTAGTCTGTATTTTTCTCGATACAGAATTTGTTTTGCTTTGCGTAATTATAACTTTATGACAGTGTTTTTGTGATTGC